GTTTTTCACATTCACAGGACACACTGATGTATTCAGTGATACATAGTTCCTCATATTCATAGGACACACAGAGGTTTTCAGTGATACATAGTTTCTCATATTCACAGGACACACAGAGGTATTCAGTGATATGCAGTTCCTCACATTCACAGCACACACCGAGGTATTCAGTGATATACAGTTTCTCACATTCACAGGACACATAGAGGGTATTCAGTGATACATAATTTCTCATATTCACAGGACACAGAGGTATTCAGTGATATACTGTTCCTCACATTCACATGACACACAGAGGTATTCGGTGATATTCAGTTCCTCACATTCACATGACACACAGAGGTTCTCAGTGATATGCGGTTCCTCACCTGCACAAGGCCACACAGGTATTCAGTGATGTACAGTTCCTCACATTCACAGGACACACAGAGTTATTCAGTGATACATAGTTCCTCACAACCACAGGACAAACAGAGGTATTCAGTAATATACAGTTCTTCACATTCACAGGACAAACAGAGGTATTCAGTGATACATAGTTTCTCATATTCACTGGACACTGAGGTATTCAGTGATATACAGTTCCTCACATTCACTGGACACACAGAAGAATTCAGTGATAGACAGTCTCTCACATTCACAGGACAGTTAGAAGTATTCAGTGATACATAATTCCCCACATCCATAACACACAGGTATTCCGTGATATGCAGTTCCTCACATCCACAGGACATACAGAGGTATTCAGTAAAATACAGTTCCTAACAATCACAGTACACACATAGGTATTCAGTGATACATAGTTCCTCACATTCACAGGAAACACCGAGGTATTCAGTGACACATAGTTTCTCATATTCACTGGACACAGAGAGGTATTCGGTGATACATAGTTTCTCATATTCACAGGACACACAGAGGTATTCAGTGATAAACAGTTGCTCTCAATCACAGGACACACAGAGGTATTCGGTGATACATAGTTCCTCACATCCACAAGACACACAGAGGTATTCAGTGAAATACATTTCTTCACACTCACAAGACACACAGAGGTATTCAGTGATATACAGTTCCTCACATTCACATGACACACAGAGGTCTTCAGTGATAAACACTTCCTTTCATTCACAGGACACACAGAGGTATTCGGTGATACATAGTTTCTCATATTCACTGAACATACAGATATATTCATTGATATACAGTTCTTCACATTCACGGGACACACAGAAGTATTCAGTGATATACAGTTCCTCACATTCACTGGACAGACAGAGGTATTCAGTGATATACAGTCTTCACATTCACAGGACACACAGAGGTATTCAGTGATATACAGTTCCTCACATCCACAGGACACACAGAGGTATTCGGTGATATATGGTTCCTCACATTCACAGGACACACAGAGATACTCAGTGATATGTGGTTCCTCACCTCCACAAGGACACACAGATGTATTCAGTGATACATAGTTCCTCATATTGACAGGACGCAGAGATATTTAGTGATACATAGTTCCTCACATCCACAGGACACACAGAGATATTCAGTGATATACATTTCTTCACATTCACGGGACACACAGAGATATTCACTGATATACAGCTCTTTACATTCAAAGGACACACTGAGGTATTCAGTGATATACAGTTCCTCACATTCACAGGACACACAGAGGTATTCAGTGATATACAGTTCCTCACATTCACAGGACACACAGAGGGTATTCAGTGATATACAGTTCCTCACATTCACAGGACACACAGAGGGTATTCAGTGATACATAGTTCCTCACATCCACAAGACACACAGAGGTATTCAGTGATATATGGTTCCTCACATTCACAGGACACACAGAGGTACTCAGTGATATGCGGTTCCTCACCTGCACAAGGACACACAGGTATTCAGTGATGTACAGTTCCTCACATTCAAAGGACACACAGAGTTATTCAGTGATACATAGTTCCTCACATCCACAGGACACACAGAGGTATTCAGTAAAATACAGTTCCCCACATTCACAGTACACACAGAGGTATTCAGTGATACATAGTTTCTCATATTCACTGGACACAGAGGTATTCAGTGATATACAGTTCCTCACATTCACTGGACACACAGAGGTATTCAATGATATACAGTTTCTCACATTCACAGGACACTTAGAGGTATTCAGTGATACATAGTTCCTCACACCCATAAGACACAGAGGTATTCCGTGATATGCAGTTCCTCACATTCACTGGACACACAGAGGTATTCAGTGATATACAGTTCCTCACATCCACAGGACACACTGAGGTATTCGGTGATATACAGTTCCTCACATTCACAGGACACACAGAGGTATTCTGTGATACATAGTACCTCACATTCACAGGACACACAGAGGTATTCAGTGATACATAGTTTTTCATATTCACAGGACACACAGAGGTATTCAGTGATACATAGTTCCTCACATCCATAAGACACAGAGGTATTCCGTGATACATAGTTCCTCACATTCACAGGACACACAGAATGAATTCCGTGATACATAGTTCCTCACATCCACAAGACACACAGAAGTATTCGGTGATATATGGTTCCTCACATTCACGGGACACACAGAGGTACTCAGTGATATGTGGTTCCTCACCTCCACAAGGACACACAGATGTATTCAGTGATACATAGTTCCTCATATTCACAGGACACACAGAGGTATTCAGTTATAGATAGTTCCTCATATTCACAAAACACACAGAGGTATACAGTGATATACAGTTCCTCACATTCACAGGACACACAGAAGTATACAGTGATATATAGTTCCTCACATTCACAGGACACACACAGGTTTTCAATGACATATGTCAGAGACACAGAGGGGTAATCAGCTATGTACTACGATGTTCCCGGAGTCTGTGTGAATAGTTTAATCAAATCAGATGTTGCACAAAAACACGTTAACGATTTTCGATGTGGAAAATACGTTACTGTGAACATGCTGCTGTTAAGCCAAAGTATGCACCAGTTCAATCTGATGCTGAAACTCCATCATTTTATTTATACGATGCTCTTGATTATACACATATTTTGAGTTATTTATGTGAATTATATGATGGGTGGTAGTTCGGTCGTGTTCGGAAGTATTTGCATCCATTAGTTCTACGTGATACAAACGACTAACTAATTCGAGATTAATTGTTTTAAGAAGCATAGCACCTACTTCCACATGCTTTGTATCTGGACATGCTCTTGTGCAAAACATTATTAACATATGATGCGCCTGTATAAGACTAGGAACAGAACAGAACAGACATTTTATTCTAAAAACTCAGATATAGTGACACAGAGAATTTACAGCAATTTGATACATATTAAAACATTCAGCAAAGTCCAGTTTTGATAAATTTGGCAGTTTTAGAGTTAAGTGGTGAATAGTCACATTTCATTAGATAAACACATTTTCAAGAATAGGATGCTTACAGAAATAATTGGGAAGAAATTGATGTCTGAGGGCATTGAGTGCTGGACAGTATTGTAGAAAGTGAAGTTCATCAAATACAGATGATGTACAAAGTTGGAAGGTTCTGTTACATCGTTTGATTGCGTACAAACGTCCTGTTTCAATGGGCAACCTGTGGTTTGAAGTTCTAAATTTAGTTAACCAGCGTCTATAGTAATAAGGTAATTGCAACAAATATGGTTCTAAAATTAGTGAATGCTTATATGTTATATAGTAATAACCCTTCGATGAGTCGACAGCAGAGCGCCACCATAACTGCTTAAACTGATCAATTAGAATGAACTGTACATTATGTTTAAGCCAAACTGTGCTAGGTACAGATTGGCTGAGCCAAATATAAGACAATCCAGTATCCTGGAGGATACGCTTGACACTTGATAACAATGGAAAATTAAAATCAGCATTTGAAGAATATAAATTGTACATGACATGATAAAAAATGGTATTTAATTTGTCATTACAACATAACATTTTGGCCCAGTTTGCTATAATTCTATTTTTTACGGATATACTGATGGGGTATCTGCCTAATTCACCGTATATCATAAAATCTGGAGTTGATTGTTTCACATTCAGAATATATTTACAAAATTTATGATGGACACGTTCGATGATGGCAACATTTTCAAACCCCCCGCTAGGAGCGTGGGGAACTGGGCGCATGTAGCTTGGTACTATTATACTGTTTGCAGGTCAAACAAACCACGTGAAAGGTAGCCGTGAAGGGTCTCTACTGCGTTGCACGGGGACTAGGACTGCATATGTTCCTCTCAACTCTTTGTCTTCACAAACCTTGGTGTTCCTCTCAACTCTTTGTCTTCACAAACCATGGTGTTCCTCTCAACTCTTTGTCTTCACAAACCATGGTGTTCCTCTCAACTCTTTGTCTTCACAAACCATGGTGTTCCTCTCAACTCTTTGTCTTCACAAACCATGGTGTACCTCTCAACTCTTTGTCTTCACAAACCATGGTGTTCCTCTCAACTCTTTGTCTACACAAACCTTGTTGCTCCTCTCAACTCTTTGTCTTCACAAACCTTGGTGTTAACTTCAGTGTTCCTTAAATCTTTGTGTTCTTCCCTACAATTCATCAAAACTCGCAGTTCTCTAAATGCCTGGCGTTCCTCATAGCTGTTCGCATTCCCCCAAGCCATTGTTGTGGGGTTTTCCCCATCTTAACCCTGCCTTTCTGGCAAATTATTCTGATACTCTCTTATGTTGGTGTTCCACTGAACCCTTTATGTGATTCTCAACTCTTTGTATTCTTCTCAGCTCGTAGTGGTCTGCCCAAATCCTGATGTTCCATGAGTCCATTGGGATTCCTCTAGACTCTTGGTATGCCTCTCAACATTTGGTGTTCGTCTCAACGGTGTTGTAGTAGACTAAGATTGGAACATTATGCTCAAACTAAGTTCTAGTACAGTGTCGCCTTCACTAAGATAAGTTATCAGTCCTGCGTGGCAATTTTGGAAGATTCGTGCGCGATAAGACCAAGGTGCGTACTTTGTTAACCTATAAAACCATCTGGTTCAAATTACTTCTCATTCTCGCCATGTTGAAGCTCGCAATCTTCGCTGTTCTTGTCGCTGCTGCAGCTGCAGGTATGTCGTATGCAGAGTCCTTTGAGGGCATTTCAGAGATACCATTTTAGAGATATTTCAGTTTACATAGCAGCACGCCTGCACAGGTGATACGGTGAGATACCTGTCGGACCAACTTCAAGTGCCAAACTTTAACAGTGCACATTTAACGAAAACGTTCCGGAATACCTAAATTGTTAAGATAGGTTCGGACACATAGTATTTATTCAGACATTTAGTGCTTGAAATCTATTTGGAATATTTTATGGCTTTAATGTCTTTGCAGCTATCTCCTCTTCATGTCTTCATGCCATATGCATGGTAAGTGAAATATTTGTTTCATGCATAATTTGTCAAACGCATAGACCTAAAACATACTGTGAGTACTTTACACATGTCTTATTGTAGAATACTGGTTGTTGTCCTCGGGTGGGAGTGAAGAAGGAGGTGGTTTGTACCCTTCCAGAAGGAAAGATGGAGTTGCTGCAATTGGTTTTATCCTGCTGGGTTTAGTTGTAGTTATCCTACTTCAACAGGGACAGGTAGATTATGGCTATATTTCTGCTTGGATGCAGATGATGCTAATATGCGACTGGATTAATATCCTACATGGGTGGAAATGATGCTGGTATACTTCTGGATGTGGACATTTTCAATGTCATTCAGTTCTTATTTAGCTGGTCTCCGTCATCCTGTTCTTATGTAGCTGGTCTGTGTCATCCTATTGTTATGTAGCTGGTCTCTGTCATCCTATTGTTATGTAGATGGTCTCTGTCATCCTATTGTGATGTAGCTGGTCTCTGTCATCCTATTGTTATGTAGCTGGTCTCTGTCATCCTATTGTCATGTAGATGGTCACTGTCATTCTATTATCTTCCGCGTTGGTGTCGTCCTTGCTCAAGCTGACGCCCAGGGCGAGATTCTCCTCCTATTTCTACCGACCCACGCCGTGAAAATGCTTCAGGTTTGCAATATAGAAACTCATTCACTCACATACCCACTCACTTACTCTTCCCTATTGTTGCACAGGTGGAGTCTGGCTGTCAGCCTGCTGATTGTAAATATGACGTTAACGGTGAAGCGTGTGGCTACTATCAGATCCACACGGGCTACTACACCGACTGCGGCCGTCCTGGCTCGGGTGGGTGCTTCCACTTTAGATCTACAGACATGTTTGGAACGAGCGCCATAGCAGCAATAGGTCTGCCTTGGAATCAGCCAAGAGAATCCAACGCAGTTCATTGCGTACTGCTTGCTGATGGATGGATGGACTGGTGATGTAATGATTGCTGATGGATGGATGGATTGGTGATGCAATGTTTGCTGATGGATGGATGGATTGGAGATACAATGCTTGCTGATGGATGGATGCATTCATGATGTACTGATGGAAGATGAATGGGTGGATGGAATAGTGATGTAATGTTTCCTGATGCATGAATGAATTGGAGATGGACTGATGCAAGATGAATGGATGGATTGGTGATGTAATGTTTGCTGATGGATGGATGGATCAGTGATGGACTGATGAAAGATGAATGGATCGATTGGTGATGTAATGTTTGCTGATGGATGGATGGATTGGTGATGTAATGTTTGCTGAGGGATGGATGGATTGATGATGTACTCATGGAAGATGGACGGATGGATGGATTGGTGATGCATTGTTTGCTTATGGATGGATGAATTGGTGATGTAATGTTTGCTGATGGATGGATGAATTGGTGATGCATTGTTTGCTGAAGGATGGATGGATCAGCGATGTAATGTTTGCTGATGGATGGATGGATCGATGATGTAATGTTTGTGATGGATGGATGGATTGGTGATGCAATGTTTGCTGATAGATGGATGGATTGATGATGTACTGATGGAAGATGGATGGATGGATGGATTGGTGATGCAATGTTTGCTGATAGATGGATGGATTGGTGATGGACTGTTGAAAAATGAATGGATGGATTGGTGATGTAACGTTTGCTGGTGGATAGATGGACAGGTGATGTAATGTTTGCTGATGGGTGGATGGGTTGGTGGTGTACTACTGGAACCTGGATGGATGAATGGATTGGTGATGCATTATTTGCTGATGGATCGATGGATCGGTGATGTAATGTTTGCTGATGGATAGATGGATTGGTGATATAATGTTTGCTGATGGATGGATGGATTGGTGATAGACTGATGTAATGTTTGCTGATGGATGGATGAAATGGTGATGAAATGTTTGCGGATGTATAGATGGATCGGTGATATAATGTTTGCTGATGGATGGATGGATTGGTGATGTACTGATGGAAGATTGATGGATAGATGGATCGGTGATGTACTGATGGAAAATGGGTGGGTTGATGGATTGGTGATGTAATGTTTCCTCATGGATGGATGAATTGGTGATGGACTGATGGAAGATGTATAGATGGATCGGTGATGTAATGTTTGCTGATGAATGGATGGATTGGTGATGCAATGTTTGCTGATAAATGGATGGATCGGTGATGTACTGATGGAAGATGGGTGAGTTGATGGATTGGTGATGTAATGTTTCCTCATGGATGGATGGATTGGTGATGGACTGATGGAAGATGAATGGCTGGATCGGTGATGTACTGTTTGCTGAAAGATGGATTGGTGATGTAATGTTTGCTGATGGATGGATGGATTGGTGATGTAATGTTTGCTGATGGATGGATGGATTGGTGATGTAATGTTTGCTGATGGATGGATGGATTGGTGATGGACTGATGGAAGATGAATGGATGGATTGGTGATGCAATATTTCCTGATGGATGAATGGATTGGTGATGCATTATTTGCTGATGGATGGATGGATCGGTGATGTAATGTTTGCTGATGGATAGATGGATTCGTGATATAATGTTTGCTGATGGATGGATGGATTGGTGATAGACTGATGTAATGTTTGCTGATGGATGGATGAATTGGTGATGTACTGATGGAAGATTGATGGATAGATGGATCGGTGATGTACTGATGGAAGATGGGTGGGTTGATGGATTGGTGATGCATTATTTGCTGATGGATGGATGGATCGGTGATGTAATGTTTGCTGATGGATAGATGGATTGGTGATATAATGTTTGCTGATGGATGGATGGATGGATTGGTGATGCATTATTTGCTGATGGATGGATGGATCGGTGATGTAATGTTTGCTGATGGATAGATGGATTGGTGATATAATGTTTGCTGATGGATGGATGGATTGGTGATAGACTGATGTAATGTTTGCTGATGGGTGGATGGATTGGTGATGTACTGATAGAAGATGGATGGATAGATGGATTAGTGATGTACTGATGGAAGATGGGTGGGTTGATGGATTGGTGATGTAATGTTTGCTGATGGATGGATGAATTGGTGATGAAAGGTTGGATGAATGGATGGATTGGTGATGAAATGTTTGATGAATGGATGGATTGGTGATGTAATGTTTGCTGATAGATGGATGGATCGGTGATGTACTGATGGAAGATGGGTGGGATCATGGATTGGTAATGTAATGTTTCCTCATGGATAGATGGATTGGTCATGGACTGATGGAAGATGAATGGCTGGATCGGTGATGTAATGTTTGCTGATGGATGGATTGGTGATGTAATGTTTGCTGATGGATGGATGGATTGGTGATGTAATGTTTGCTGATGGATGGATTGGTGATGTAATGTTTGCTGATGGATGGATGGATTGGCGATGGACTGATGGAAGATGAATGGATGGATTGGTGATGCAATGTTTCCTGATGGATGAATGGATTGGTGATGCATTATTTGCTGATGGATGGATGGATTGGTGAAGTATTATTTGCTAATGGATGGATGGATAGGTGATGCAATATTTGCTGATTGATAGATGGATTGATGATTTTATGTTTGCTGATGGGTGGATGGATGGATGGATTGGTGATGTAACGTTTGCTTATGGATGGATTGATGGATTGGTGATGTAATTTTTTCTGACGTATGGATGGATGGATTGGTGATGTAATGTTTGCTGATGGATGGATGGATTGGTGAAGTAATGTTTGCTGATGGATGAATGGATTGGTGATGTAATGTTTGCTGATGGATGGATGGATTGGTGATGTAATGTTTGCTGATGGATGGATGGATTGGTGATGTAATGTTTGCTGATGGATGGATGGATTGGTGATGTAATGTTTATTGATGGATGGATGGATGGATGGATTGGTGATGTTATGTTTCCTGATGCATGGATGGATGGATGGATTGGTGACGTAATGTTTGCTGATGGATGAATTGATGGATTGGTGATGTAATTTTTTCTGACGTATGAATGGATGGATTGGTGATGTAATGTTTGCTGATGGATGGATGGATTGGTGATGTAATGTTTGCTGATGGATGGATGGATCGGTGATGTAATGTTTGCTGATGGATGGATTGGTGATGTAATGTTTGCTGATGGATGGATGGATTAGTGATGTAATGTTTGCTGATGGATGGATGGATTGGTGATGTAATGTTTGCTGATGGATGGATGGATGGATCGGTGATGTTATGTTTACTGATGAATGGATGGATGGATTAGTCATGTAATGTTTGCTGATGGATGGATGGATTGGTGATGTAATGTTTGCTGATGGATGGATGGATCGGTATTGTAATGTTTGCTTATGGATGGATGGATCGGTGATGTAATGATTGTCATGGATGGATGGATCAGTAATGTTATGTTTGCTGATGGATGGATGGATTGATGATGCAATGTTTACTGATGGATGGATGGATTGGTGATAGACTGTGATGTAATGTTTGCTGATGGATGGATGAATTGGTGATGAAATGTTTGCTGATGTATAGATGGATCGGTGATGTAATGTTTGCTGATGAATGGATGGATTGGTGATGCAATGTTTGCTGATAGATGGATGGATCGGTGATGTACTGATGGAAGATGGGTGGGTTCATGGATTGGAAATGTAATGTTTCCTCGTGGATGGATGGATTGGTGATGGACTGATGGAAGATGAATGGCTGGATCGGTGATGTAATGTTTGCTGATGGATGGATGGATTGGTGATGTAATGTTTGCTGATGGATGGATGGATTGGTGATGTAATGTTTGCTGATGGATGGATGGATTGACGATGGACTGATGGAAGATGAATGGATGGATTGGTGATGCAATATTTCCTGATGAATGAATGGATTGGTGATGCATTATTTGCTGATGGATGGATGGATCGGTGATGTAATGTTTGCTGATGGATGGATGGATTGGTGGTATAATGTTTGCTGATGGATGGATGGATCGGTGATGTAATGTTTGCTTACGGATGGATGGGTTGTGATATAATGTTTGCTGATGGATGGATGAATGGATTGGTGATTTTAGGTATGCTGATGGATGGATGGATGGGTCGGTAATGTAATGTTTGCTGATGGATTGATGGATTGGTGATTTTATGTTTGCTTATTGATGGATAGATGGATTAGTCATGACATGTTTGCTGATGGATGGATGAATTGTTGAGTTTATGTTTGCTGATAGATGGATGGAATAGTTATGTAATGTTTGCTAATGGATGGATTAGTGATGTAATGTTTGCTGATGGATGGATGGATTGGTGATGTAATGTTTGCTGATGGATGGATGGATTGGTGATGTAATGTTTGCTGATGGATGGATGGATTGACGATGGACTGATGGAAGATGAATGGATGGATTGGTGATGCAATATTTCCTGATGGATGAATGGATTGGTGATGCATTATTTGCTGATGGATGGATGGATCGGTGATGTAATGTTTGCTGATGGATGGATGGAGTGGTGATATAATGTTTGCTGATGGATGGATGGATCGGTGATGTAATGTTTGCTTACGGATGGATGGATTGTGATATAATGTTTGCTGATGGATGGATGATTGGATTGGTGATTTTAGGTATGCTGATGGATGGATGGATGGGTCGGTAATGTAATGTTTGCTGATGGATGGATGGATTGAGATATAATGTTTGCTGATGGATGGATGATTGGATTGGTGATTTTATGTTTGCTGATAGATGGATTGATGGATTAGGGATGTAATGTTTGCTGATGGATGGATGGATTGGTGATGTAGTGTTTGCTGATAGATGGATGGATTGGTGATGTAATGTCTGCTGATGGATGAATGGATGGATCGGTGATTTTATGTTTGCTGATGGATGGATGGATGGATTAGTGATGTAATGTTTGCTGATGGATGGACGGATTGGTGATGTAAGGTTTGTGATGGATGGATGGATTGATGATGTAATGTTTGCTGATGGATGGATGGATTAGTTATGTAACGTTTCCTAATGGATGGATGGAAGGATTAGTGATGTAATGTTTGCTGATGGATGGATGGATTGGTGATGTAATGTTTGCTGATGGATGGATGAATTGTTGATGTAATGTTTGCTGATGGATGGATGGATTAGTGATGTAATGTTTGCTGATGGATGGATGGATTGGTGATGTTATGTTTGCTGATGGATGGATTGATGGATTAGTGATGTAATGTTTGCTGATGGATGGATGGATTGGTGATGTTATGTTTGCTGATGGATGGGATGGATTATGTTTGCTTTGATGGATGGATATAATGTTTGCTAATGATGGATGGATAGTGATGTAATGTTTGCTGATAGATGGATGGATTAGTGATGTAATGTTTGCTGATCGATGGATGGATTAGTGATGTAATGTTTGCTGATGGATGGATGGATTGGTGATGTAATGTTTGCTGATGGATGGATGGATTAGTGATGTAATGTTTGCTGATGGATGGATGGATTGGTGATGTAATGTTTGCTGATGGATGGATGGATTGCTGATCGATGGCTGATGATGGATGGATTGTATAAGGATTGATGGATGGATGGATTGATGTAATGTTTGCTGATGGATGGATAGATTGGTGATGTAATGTTTGCTGATGGATGGATTGGTGATGTAATGTTTGCTGATTGATGGATGGATGGATTAGTGATGTAATGTTTGCTAATGGATGGATGAAACTGTGATGTACTGAAAGAAGTTGGATTGGTGATGGGCTGATGGAAGATGATTGGATGGATTGGTGATGCAATATTTGCTGATCGATGGATGGATTGGTGATTTATTGTTTGCTAATGGATTGATGGATTGGTGATTTTATGTTTGCTGATGAATGGATAGATGGATTGGTGATGTAATTTTTTCTGACGTATGGATGGATGGATGGATGGATTGGTGATGTAATGTTTGCTGATGGATGGATGGATTGGTGATGTAATGTTTGCTGCTGGATTGATGGATTGGTGATGTAATGTTTGCTGATGAATGGATGGATGGATTAGTGATGTAATGTTTGTTGATGGATTGATGGATTGGTGATTTTATGTTTGCTGATGGAAAGATGGATGGAATGGAATGGATGATGTAAGGTTTGCTGATGGATGGATGGATTGGTGATGTAATGTTTGCTGATGGATGGATTGGTGATGTTATGTTTGCTGATGAATGGATGGATGGATTAGTCATGTAATGTTTGCTGATGGATGGATAGATTGGTGATGTAATGTTTGCTGATGTATGGATGGATCGGTGATGTAATGTTTGCTTATGGATGGATGGATTGGTGATGTAATGTTTGCTTATGGATGGATGGATAGGTGATATAATCTTTGCTGATGGATGGATTGGTGATTTTATGTTTGCTGATGGATGGATGAATTGTTGATGTAATGTTTGCTGATGGATGGATCGATTGGTGATGTAATGTTTGCTGATGGATGGATGGATTGGTGATTTTATGTTTGCTGATGGATGGATGGATGGATTAGTGATGTTATGTTTGCTGATGGATAGATGAATTGTTGATGTAATGTTTGCTGATGGATGGATCGATTGGTGATGTAATGTTTGCTGATGGATGGATGGATTGGTGATTTTATGTTTGCTGATGGATGGATGGATGGATTAGTGATGTTATGTTTGCTGATGGATGGATGAATTGGTGATGTAATGTTAGCTGATGGATGGATGGATTAATGATGTAATGTTTGCTAATGGATGGATGGATGGATTAGTGATGTAATGTTTGCTAATGAATGGATGGATGGATTAGTGATGTAATGTTTGTTGATGGATTGATGGATTGGTGATTTTATGTTTGCTGATGGAAAGATGGATGGAATGGTGATGCAATTTTTGCTGATAGATGGATGGATTGGTGATGTAATGTTTGCTGATGGATGGATGGATTGGTGATGTAATGTTTGCTGATGGATGGATGGATTGGTAATTGACTGATGGAAGATGAATGGGTGGATTAGCGATGCAATTTTTGGTGGTGGGTTGATTGGTAGTTTATTGTTTGATGATGGACGCATTTGTTGATGATGTTTTGTTTCAAGATGGATGTACTGGTGATGGATGTACTGTTTAATGATGGATGTATTGGTGATGGATATACTGTTTATTGACGGATGTACTGGTGGTGTATGTACTGTTTAATGATAGATCTATTGGTGATGGATATACTGTTATTGATGGATGTACTGGTGATGGATGTACTGTTTAATGATGGATGTACTGGTGATTGATGTACTGTTTAAGGACTGATGTACTGGTGATGGATGTACTGCTTAATGATGTTTGTATCGGTGATGGATGTACTGTTTAATTATGGGTGTCCTGGTGATGGATGTACTGTTTAATGATGGATGTACTGGTGATGGATATACTGTTTAATGACGGGTGTACTGATGATGGATGTACTGTTTAATTATGGATGTACTGGTGATGGATGTACTGTTTAATGATGGATGTACTGGTGATGGATGTACTGTTAAATGATGGATGTACTAGTGATGGATGTACTGCTTAATGATGTTTGTATTGGTGATGGATGTACTGTTTAATTATGGGTGTCCTCGTGATGGATGTACTGTTTAATGATGGATGTACTGGTGATGGATATACGGTTTAATGACGGGTGTACTGGTGATGGATGTACTGTTTAATTATGGGTGTCCTGGTGATGGATGTACTGTTTAATGATGGATGTACTGGTGATGGATATACTGTTAAATGGAGGATGTACTGGTGATGGATGTACTGTTTAATGATGGATGTATTGGTGATGGATGTACTGTTTAATTATGGATGTACTGGTGATGGATGAACTGTTTAATGATGGATGTTTTGGTGATGGATGTACTGTTTAATGATGGATATGTTGTTTAATGATGGATGTACTGGTGATGGATGTACTGTTTAATGATGGATGTATTGGTGATGGATGTACTGTTTAATTATGGGTGTCCTGGTGATGGATGTACTGTTTAATGAAGGATGTACTGGTGATGGATGTACTGTTTATTGACGGGTGTACTGGTGATGGATGTACTGTTTAATGATGGATGTACTGTTTAATGATGGATGTACTGGTGATGGATGTAGTGTTTAATGATGGATGTACTGGTCATGGATGTACTGTTTAATGATGGATGTACTGGTGATTGATGTACTGTTTAATGATGGAGGGATCGGTCATGTTTCCTTCGATGATTGATGATTGGATGGATGCATTACTGATGTATTGTTTCATGATTATGATCAACAAATTGATTGCGCATTGTTGATGATGATCCAGGAACTGACCAATAATGAGTGAGGATTATAGATATCTTTGTGAGGTGTTTCTGAAATTGGATGGAGGGGTTGATGACATACTGATTGGTGATCTTTGATTGTATCTATTCATGATGATTGATGGATAATATATGGATGTATGCAGGTTGGGAGGCCTGTGCCAAAGACAAGGCCTGCGCAGACAGATGCGTGATCGCCTACATGAATCGTTACGGCACCTACTGCACCGGGGGAAGGACCCCTACCTGCGAGGACTATGCCAGAATCCACAACGGCGGCCCCAAGGGCTGCGTACACAGCAACACGATCGGCTACTGGCACAAGGTCCAGGTATACGCCGGTTGATGCGTCGGGACATGTCAGATTCCTACATTGTGACAATAAAAACACACCTGATAATTGCGTTTGCCTTGTTTTTCAAACCATTAATGGAAGCATATTGGGTGAGCACATAAGTTACGATGTTTGAGTGTCACAAATACACCAGCCAGCAGTCCTAAGGACAACCTACTTGGGTTGTCATAGGAATATGATTACAACAGACCACTTACGTAGCGATGCAGACAATTAGACCTTTTCAACGTTATAAGCGGTACCTGTACACTGATGGCAATAACTACCTCAACTGACCTTGACAGTGACAAACGTTCGTCTTCCGTTGCCTGGTCTATGCTCGTTAGTAAGATGTAAGGTTGTAAACCACAGTAGTCCCAATATCGTTACTGAGTGGTAAGGTTGTCCACAGCAGTACTCCACGCTCGTTACTAAGATGTAATGTTGTCCAATGCCTTGGTCCTTGCTGACATTTAACATTGTGAGAAGCGGTTGTGTAGTGAGTAGAGTGAACACCGGGTTGACTGTTTATTATGTAGAGTGAACACTGGGTAGATAGTGAACATCGGGTTCACTGTTTAATCATATGTAGAGTGAACACTGGGTAGATGGTGAACATCGGGGTGACTGTTTAATGCGTAGAGTGAACACAGGGTCGATAGTGAACACCAGGTTGACTGTTTAATGCGTGGAGTGAACGCTGGGTAGATAGTGAACATCGGGTTCACTGTTTAATGCGTAGAGTGAACACAGGGTAGATAGTGAACACCGGGTTGACTGTTTAATGTGTAGAGTGAACACAGGGTCGATAGTGAAGACCAGGTTGACTGTTTAATGTGTAGAGTGAACACAGGGTAGATAGTGAACACCGGGTTGACTGTTTAATGCGTAGAGTGAACACAGGGTAGATAGTAAACACCAGATTGACTGTTTAATGCGTAGAGTGAACACTGAGTAGATAGTAAACATCGGATTGACTGTTTAATGTGTAGAGTGAACACAGGGTAGATAGTAAACACCGGGTTCACTGTTCAAAGTGTAGAGTGAAAGCTGGGTAGATAGTAAACACCAGGTTCACTGTTTAAAGGGTAGAGTGAACACATGGTAGATAGTAAACACCGGGTTCACTGTTTAATGCGTAGAGTGAACACAGGGTCGATAGTGAACACCAGGTTGACTGTTTAATGTGTAGAGTGAACACATGGTAGATAGTGAACACCGGGTTGGCTGTTTAATGCGTAGAGTGAACACAGGGTAGATAGTAAACACCAGATTGACTGTTTAATGCGTAGAGTGAACACTGAGTAGATAGTAAACACCGGATTGACTGTTTAATGTGTAGATTGAACACAGGGTAGATAGTGAACACAGGGTTCACTGTTCAAAGTGTAGAGTGAAAGCTGGGTAGATAGTAAACACCGGGTTGACTGTTTAAAGGGTAGAGTGAACACAGGGTAGATAGTAAACACCGGGTTGACTGTTTAATGCGTAGAGTGAACACAGGGTAGATAGTGAACACCGGGTTGACTGTTTAATGCGTGTAGTGAACACTGGGTAGATAGTAAACACCAGGTTTACTGTTTAATGCGTAGACTGAACACAGGGTAGATAGTGAACACCGGATTGGCTGTTTAAAGTGTTGAGTGAACACTGGGTAGATAGTAATCACCAGGTTGACTGTTTAATACGTAGAGTGAACACAGGATAGATAGTGAACACAGGGCTGACTGTTTAATGCGTACAGTGAACACAGGGTAGATAGTGAACACCGGGTTGACTGTTTAATGTGTAGAGTGAACACAGGGTATATAGTAAACACCGGGTTGACTGTTTAAAGTGTAGAGTGAACACAGGGTAGATAGTGAACACCGGGTTGACTGTTTAATGCGTAGAGTGAACACAGGGTAGATAGTAAACACCTGATTGACTGTTTAATGTGTAGAGTGAACAATGGGTAGATAGTAAACACCGGGTTCACTGTTCAAAGTGTAGAGTGAAAACAGGGTAAATAATAAACACCGGTTTGACTCTTTAAAGTGTAGTGTGAACACAGGTGAATAGTGAACACCGGGTTGACTGTTTAATGTGTAGAGTGAACACAGGGTAGATAGTGAACACAGGGTTGACTGTTTAATGTGTAGAGTGAACACTTGGTAGATAGTAAACACCTGATTGACTGTTTAATGTGTAGAGTGAACACAGGGTAGATAGTAAACACCGGGTTCACTGTTCAAAGTGTAGAGTGAAAACTTGGTAAATAGTAAACACCGGGTTGACTGTTTAAAGTGTAGTGTGAACACAGGGTAGATAGTGAACACAGGGTTGACTGTTTAATGCGTAGAGTGAACACAGGTAGATAGTGAACACAGGGTTTACTGTTTAAAGTGTAGAGTGAACACTGGGTAGATAGTAAACACCAGGTTGACTGTTTAATGCGTGGAGTGAACGCTGGGTAGATAGTAAACACCAGGTTGACTGTTTGATGCGTAGAGTGAACACTGGGTAGATAGTAAACACCAGGTTGACTGTTTAATGCGTGGAGTGAACGCTGGGTAGATAGTAAACACCAGGTTGACTGTTTGATGCGTAGAGTGAACACAGGGTAGATAGTAAACACCGGGTTGACTGTTTAAAGTGTAGAGTGAACACATGATAATAGCAAACACCAGGGTGACTGTTTAAAGTGTAGAGTGAACACATGGTAGATAGTAAACACCGGGTTGACTGTTAAATTCGTAGAGTGAACACAGGGTAGATTCTCATCACCAGGTTGACTGTTTAATGCGTGTAGTGAACACTGGGTAGATATTAAACACCAGGTTTACTGTTTAATGCGTAGACTGAACACAGGGTAGATAGTGAACACCGGATTGGCTGTTTAAAGTGTTGAGTGAACACTGGGTAGATAGTAATCATCAGGTTGACTGTTTAATACGTAGAGTGAACACAGGATAGATAGTGAACACAGGGTTGACTGTTTAATGCGTACAGTGAACACAGGGTAGATAGTAAACACAGGATTGACTGTTTTATGCTTAGAGTTAACACAGGGTAGATGGTGAACATCGGGTTGACCGTTTAATGCTTAGAGTGAACACTGGGTTGATAGTGAACACCAGGTTGACTGTTTAATGCGTAGAGTGAACACAGGGTAGATAGTGAACATCGGGTTGATTGTTTAATGCGTAGAGTGAACACAGGGTAGATAGTGAACACCAGGTTGACTGTTTAATGTGTAGAGTGAACACTGGGTAGATTGTGAACACCGGGTTGACCAAACACTGGGTACAGTAGGCACGAGATAAGATAGAATGGGCAGTCTAGCGAGGAAGCATAGTAGTAGATCACGGCCATAAGAACCTGTAACTTCCGTCCTTTCTGTCCTGAAGATGGAGCTGAAAAATTCAAAAGTAATTAGTCCCTCGATATATGAACATACATTCACAAAATTATGAACAGATCTGGTGGCCTTATTCTCATGTTATATATATGAACTATACAGGTATACTATAACTTATATCGATGAACAACATTGATACATTGAGCACAGGGTGGACTATGGTTTAGAGATCTAACAGCATCTTCTGATCGAAGACACATGGAAATCAAGGGTCTACACGAGTTGCTTCCCTTCACCGCCAGTACCGCATGATATGAACCGTCATAAGAGAACGGATATTCAAACAGATACTAAAACATTTCTTACTCCCTAAATTGCATGAAGTGAAGTTATTCGGTGACAGGTATCTATTACAGCAACAACGTTAAGATATGGACAAAATTACACATTTATTTCAACGCGTTATATACGACGTATGCAGTGTTGGGAAATTGTGAACTGATGGAATATACTAACCGACCATGTTCCATTAGCTTTAACCTGCCGATAGTCAATTCGATAACGGAAATAGGACATAATTCAGGAGCGCTATCCCTTACTGTGCTGGTCAGATAGTTAGTGAGTGAGTGAGTTTAGTTTCACGCCGCTTTTAGCAATCTTCCAGCAATATCACGACGGGGACACCAGAATGGGCTTCAAACATTGCACCCATGTGGGGAATCGAACCTGGGTCTTCGGCGTGACGAGCCAACGCTTTAACCACTAGGCTACCCCACCGCCCCCAGACAGAATTAAGCAAACGTAGTATGTTAATACATTTATCAGTATCTATGTTTATCATCCACCCTTATCAAATCACATATCGAGACACACTAGCAGAGCAGCGACCCTTGGATACGTGTCTTATGATCTGTAAAGTACATAGCTAGTGGGAACGCCTACTCAGGTCAACTATTGGAGTTTGGCCACATATGTATTCAATCAATTGTTCGTTGAACAACAATGCACCTCATAGGTATCAGTTATTGCCAAACCTTCTATGCCATATACTTCTAATGCTTTTGCTGCATCTATAATTGTTACATGCCCATACCATATAGTGGAACGGTGTGAGCTCTATATGTCTAGTATGCCAATACGATATAGTGCAAGGATGTGAGCTCTATATGACCAGTATGCCCATACGATATAGTGGAACGGTGTGAGCTCTATATGTCTAGTATGCCCATACGATATAGTGTAAAGGTGTGAGCTCTATATGTCCAGTATGCCCATACCATATAGTGCAGGGGTGTGAGCTCTATATGTCGAGTATGTCCATACCATATAGTATAAAGGTGTGAGCTCTATATGTCCAGTATGTTCGTACGATATAGTACAGAGGTGTTAGCTCTATATGTCCAGAATGTCCATACCATATAGTGTAAAGGTGTGAGCTCTATATGTCCAGTATGTCCATACGATATAATATAAAGGTGTGAGCTCTATATGTCCAGTATGCAAATACCATATACTGTAAAGGTGTGAGCTCTATATGTCCAGTATGCCCATACTACATAGTGTAAGGATGTGAGCTCTATATGTCTAGTATGCTCATAGCATATAATGTAACGGTGTGAGCTCTGTAAGTCCAGTATGCCCATACCCATATAGTGTAACGGTGTGAGCTCTATATGTCCATCATGCCCATACGATATATTGTAACGGTGTGAGTTCTACGTGTTCA